GTGATTGTTTTGGTGATTAATGACAACCCATTGTTGGAACTAACTATTTCCATGAGTTGGTGAGATTAGGTTAAGTTCCGGCATCAAGTTAAAAGATTGAAGCTAGAAGATGGACATTATACCTTGATGAGGAGTAAGTGAAGACATTGATGATGCGGGGTATGAAGTGGCTATCTATGGCAAAACGGTGAAGGGCAAGCAAGGCTCGGCTACAGTGGACCATGGGGGGGTGAAGAGCAAGAAAGAGGCTTGGCGCCGATGGACCAAATCCGGTGGTGAAGGGCGAGTGAAGGCTTTGTCGTGATGGACCGTGCGAGGCCATTTGAAGCTATGAGTAATCCGTATCAATTATTAGAAGACCGCAAGATGGAATGCCGAAGATCAAGAGGATGTGGTTCTCCAATGAATATCAAGTCAAAAGCCAAAGTGGGTATTGATCAAGGCAAAGGTATAATTGATTTGGGACTAATATGCTTAATGAGTGTAGGTTGCTTAGGAGTGGGCTAGGATGCTTGGAGACCCCCCAAAACATCAAAATCAAAGCGGCGAGAAGACTCGGAGCCGAGTTAGACTAGTTTACTTTTTCGCTTTGAGTTTAGGAAAAACCGTACTATTAAGAGGGGTTCCAAGTGTGGTTCTGAGATAACACAAGTGCTCTTAGTGGTGTCCAAGTGTTGAAATATTTTTAAGAGCTGTTTTTGAAAATGGCTCTACTCGGGACAGAGAGTCCCACCCGGAGGTTCTGTCCGGAACTTCCTAATGCCGAGGTGAGGTTGAAAAATTTCCTAAGTGCTGCCTGGAAGTTCCTGGCACTTTTACCCGGAACCTCCTGGCAGGTTTCTAGTTCAAACTTGTGAGTAACGGCTAGATGATGTCACCTAGCCGTTATATATATGGATCTCATCCCCAGGTCACCCTTTGGCCATTCCACTTTAGTTCTTGTGTTCCCTAGCTTGTTCTAGCCTCTCCTAATGTTATTTTGCTTCCTCCACCCAAATCTTGTGTATTTCTTAAGTGAGAGAGTGATTTTGAGGGTGGTGGTGAGGATTGGAGAAGGTTTTGAAGGCTAGGATGACTTGAGCACTTGGGGTATCTCGTTGGGCTGTCATTTGGAGCTTGTTACTCTTGGAGGGTGACCTCCTAGATGGTTAGGTGTCGCCCGTGAGTTTCCAACAAGGTTGTGGATTGACCCGGGCAAGTTTGTAAGGGCGTTATTCCACCTCCGAAAGGAAACGGAATACACGGTGAGTGAATTCCGAGCTGAGGTTTAGGAGGTCGTCTTGGTAAAGCAAGCCTCACTTGTGGTGTTCTCTTGGTGTTCAAGTTGGGGATCTTAGTGGTCACTTGAAACCAAAGAGAAGTACCTAGGGGTGTTGGCTTGAATACCGGAGACCTCTTCCTAGGCCTTTGCTTGGTGAGGCAAGGGGTTAATGAAGACCTGGCTCTTTGGAGCTCCTCAACGGAGACATAGGATTCTCGGTGGAGAATCCGAACTTCGGAAAACAAATCTTTTGTGTTCTCTCACTCTCTTTATCTTTGTGATTGTGATGCTTATCTCCTTATTTGCCTAGTCGTGCTATCATGTCTCCCATTGTATGATCACTTGTGATATCTTGTGTGTTTTCATGTATATTACTCTTGTTTGAGACATGTTGTACCTCTCTATGGTTTAGGCTTCCTTGTGATTTAATTTACTTGTTGTGAGGTGCTTGAAATAGCAATTCACAACTACCCGGAAGTTCCTAGGAAGAACTCAGGAAGTTCCGGGCAACTTTCTCTGCTTGTGAGAAAAAGCTGCCAGGAAGTTCCGGACCTTTTGCCAGGAAGTTCCGAGCCCTGATTTTAACCGCTGCGATTTGAAGTAAATTTTAGGAACGCCTATTCACCCCCCCTCTAGGCGACATCACGGCCCTTTCAGCGGCGGGTGGAGACGGTGCGGCTCAGCGGCGGCAGCGGCCGGAGGCGGCATCAGCGGCGATGGTGGCGCCCTCCCCTCCACTGCAGCGGCGTGCGGCGGCTTCGGCAGCGTGTGGCGGGAGGAGTGGCAGCCGCCCGGAGGCGCCGTCCCTCCGCCAGATCCGGCAGGAGGAAGGGCTTCAGAGCCGCGCCGCCACCAAATGCGTCGGTCGCCTTGATACTGTCCCTGCCGCCGGCCCGTGTCGAGCTCGTCCACAAGCCCGACCACCGCGCCAAGCACTTCAGCCGCCACACGTCGCCTGCAACCCGACATGCCTCCTGCTGCCTTTTGTTTGCCAGCAAATTCATATATGATTGCCTTTGTTTGACTTTCTGTATTGCCGGATTGGATTAGGAGGGAGGAAATACATGGGTATTAGGTTTCTTGTGGGGATCAAATTCATGAGGTCGAGATTAAATTTGGTATTTTTGTGTTGTTTTTGGTTGCTTGGTTGATTAATTGATTTGGGGATCTATCTCGGGGATTTTTTTTTTTGAAGACAGACTCGGACTCGGGTAGGGACGGATCGCATGGACAGGTGAAAAATCGTGCATATGGACGAAAATCATGTGATGACCGGAAAAATGCGAATATTTATATTAGTTATATAGATTTTTTTGTTGGTGACGATTGATGTAGCAAAACTGCCGAGATTTGTCACATTTTTTTTTCTGGCGATTGCTGTATAGTACATATAGTAATTAAAAAAATACTCCCTCCATATTTTAATATATGATGTCGTTGACTTTTTAACCAACGTTTGACCACTCGTATTATTCAAAAATTTTATGTAAATATAAAAATACTTATGTCATGCTTAAAGAACATTTGATGATAAATCAAGTCACAATAAAATAAATTATAATTACAAATTTTTTTTGAATAAGACGAAAGGTCAAACGTTTGTAAAAAAGTCAACGGCGTCATACATTAAAATACGGAGGGAGTACATAATACTCCATCCATTTTTTTAGTACGACATTATTTAGTTAAAATGTGGAAAAAACTTAGAGAAAGTAGACTATAAAAAGGTTGAATGGTGCAAAGTAAGCATAGCTAAACTGGTTTTTTATGTTACTTGTTGTGGACCCTATCTACTTGGATTCAAGGTTTAAACTTGGTATGGGTGCACGTATTTACGGCTAATTATTTTTAAATGGTAGGTGATGTACTGTTGACAGCGAGACGCTCTCATGATGACTTTATCAATCTAAACATATATATGTTGGTGCAACTTTTTCAAAGGTACTTAATTCAAAGGATAGGATATTTATGTATGAGTTTGTTCATAAGAACGAATATGCCTTGATAGGTTGTGCATGGGTATCTATAAGAGTGAGTGTGTGTATAATATGATAGGGTGTGTGTGTGTTTTTATAAGAACGACTACGCGCATCTCTATATTTCGGTACATCCCGGGTATGCCTTCTCTAAAAATGTCTTGTGCTAAAGTTGAAGACAACTTCTAAGGAAGGTATCTCTCATCTTCCTTGTGTGTCCCTACTAGAAAATATTTTTACAGGCGGCCAAAATATTTTTTTTTGCAGGCGTCCATAACCTCCGCCTACACCCAAAGTCATGCAAAAATCAATAATTTTTGTAGGTGGCTAAATCCACCCGTTTGCGAAAATATTTTCAGCGTAAAGAAAATTCGCCGCCCTCAGCCCTACCCACCGCCGCCCTCCCCTTCGGCCGGATCTAGGGTTATGGTTTTGGGAGGAAGAGGGAGGGGAGGGGAGCTGCGTCACCATCACTGAATCTGGTAGGTGAGAGCGCCGCCATGAGCTCACCGGTGCTGCCGCCGACCTCCTGCCTACGTGCCGCCTTCTCCGCTGCAAGTCGCCGCTGCTGCCCTCCCCACGACACAGCTGGATCCGGGAGGGGAGGGCAGGGAAGGTTCGCTGTCGCCGCCGCCACCCTCCCTACGACGTAGCCAGATATGGGTGGAGAGGTAAGCGCCGCCGCCGCTGCACAACCCACGATGCCGCCGCTGCACAACCCGCGATGCCGTCGGCCGGATTTGGGAGGTGGAGCGTCGCCGCCCTCCGCCCCGCGCCATGTCTGAGGAAAGAGAGCGATGGGAGCGCCGCCGGCCACCACCGTCCCCCCTTCCCCCTCCAACCAGATCTGGGAGGAAGGGAGGGAGGGAGGGGAGCCATCACGTCGTTGGGAGTAGATGCCGCCACCGCCCTCCCCCTCCCTGCGGCCACCACACTGGGGTGCACCGCCACCGCTAGGTAGCCGCCTCTGGCTGGATCCACGCCGAGGAGAGGAAGGAGAGGGAGAGGGAGAGGGAGGGGAGGGGAGATGTGGAAGTTGACTTAGAAAATTTTGACGCCCGGTGGTTTTTAAGATACTTTACCTTTTTGCAGGCGGATTTATTAAAGAGGTCCGTCTGCAAAAATAATGATATTTTCACGGTCGGACCTCTTAAGATATCTACATGTAGAAATCTATATTTTTTTACTTAAATTACTGCCAGGGCTTTGCCTCGTAGTATAATTTTCATAAAAACTCAAAATATTTACAAATTACAAAAGAGGAAGGAAGGAGAAAAACTTATAAAGATTACAATGTTTGTAACCAATCAAAAACTATCTGCTTTAAAGGATCTTTCATTCTACACATATGAAGAAGAACTTCTTTTCTAAACGATATTCTTCATGAACCAAAGGAGGGAAGCTCATTCCGAAAATTTTTCCCATTTCTCTGCTCGTAGGCGGATAACTATCTCATCTCACGGTTGTTATTTTTGTAGGTGGCTATTTGGCTTCCAGAGACCTACTCGTCCGGGAAAAAGAAATGCCAGCATCTAGAAAAATAGTTTTTCTAGTAGAGTGTTGTGAGCGTCTGCGATCGTGGTAAAGAAAGCAAAAAAGGTGAAGGACGAGTGGCATGATACATATGGGAAAGCTGTAGACTTTGACCCTTGACTACTCGTTGGAAGTGTGCGTCTGCATGCATTATTGAACGGCTCTGATCCCCGCGGCGCAGCGGATCGGGGTCATGTCCGGATGGGCATATCGACGAGAAGGATCCGTCCCCGACAATCTTTCAAGGCCCGTGCCCCCGTCCCTCCTCTCCTCTGCGCCTTTCCATCATCATTTACGCCCAACCCCAACACATGTACATTTCCCTTGGCTTGCTTCCGGAGAAGAAAAGAGCGGCCATCCACTCCACTCTCCACTCTCTCCCTTCCATCATTACTTGCCCAAAAACGGCAATCCCCTCCCCTCCATCTCCATGTGCTCTTCCACCTAGCTCCGCCATTCAAAGCAAAGCACCAAGCTTTTGCCTCTCCCTCTACCATGCCTGCCCCCTATACATAGCTGCTGCACCGTCTCTCTTCATAAATATACTAGTAGGAGTAGCAGAGCTCATCACTTCGATCATCTCCATTATCGGAACTTCGGAGTGACATGGCAATGGCGGCGGCGCCCCGGCCCAAGTCGCCGCCGGCGCCGCCCGACCCATGCGGCCGCCACCGCCTCCAGCTCGCCGTCGACGCGCTCCACCGCGAGATCGGATTCCTCGAGGTACAATCTATCTCTATCTGTCTATATCACTACCATTCATACTCCTTCGATCTTGCTTCAAAACAAAAAAATATATATTTCCTACTTCATATTCATATACACACGTACGGCTTGCTATCTGTCGAATTGTTTGCTTCTGCATGCATGCATCACTCTCATTGTAAGTTTTTCCCAGCTTAAAACCACTCCTTTTATCTTCGTTCTTCTTCCTTCTTGTTTTTTTTTAAAAAAACAACAACTCATTTAATCTTCATATAGTGTATCATGCATCATTTGCTTCTTTGATCAGTTCCCCAAAAACTGCTCCTCTCTTCCCAGCCAAATAATTAAACTTAAGCAAACAAGCAAGTTGAACTGATGATCCAATAAAACAAAACAAAACCGATCGAATAGGAAGTCAATGGCATATACCAGCTGCTATAGCTGAAGCCACGAATGCTTAGCTTAGCTCTAGTCGATCCCTGTTGACTGTTCAACACACTGCACTAACACACCAGTTAATGAGCTGATTAATTAAACCATTAAATGAGCTTAACGGGCGGCTAGCTTCTTCCTCTGGGCCCGTGCCGATCGTACCATCGGTTTGCGCGTCCCTCCACCTAAACTCTCTGCCTTGTTATTCCCTTTGCCTAGTACTACATGCATTTGCATCATCATCCCATCACCAATAGTACTACGTTTCAACTGGATTTTGGTGGTGTCCAACCATATCATATTTGGTTTTGTTCTCTAGTTTACTCCTACATTAGTCTCTAGCGGTTTTGTGGAGTACTAAAGAAAACAACTAATCAGCCAGGGTTTAACGTTTAATCGGTTGGTGGTTTTGTTAATTAATTTCATCTACTATTTTAGACTTCACAGGTCTTCGAGCTATAAGCATCGATTGCCATGCATCAATCGATGCTGGTCCACGCTAGTTTCTGAGTTCTGACTAGCTCTCTTAATTGTGCTTTGACCTACTTTAATTAATTAACCAGTGGCTGCGTCACTCATTGACCAACATTGTCATGTTACCCGGACTGATTTTTTTTTTCTTTAAAAAAACACCGGATATATTATTAGTTAGTGTATATATATGTCTGCTCAAGAAGCGCATGCATATAGTTTCTCGTCAAACAAAAAATGTACTGTATGCTCAAAGCATCTGTTTTGGAATTGTCATATTCGCCTTTATAATTAAAATAATTAAAATGGTGATGCCCAGCTTTTTTTTTCCTCCAATAATTTATTTATTGGCTTGATTTCCTGTGCTATTAGGAGTAAAACTACTCCGTTTTAATTAGCACCATTTTTAAAGCTTCTAAAATTAACCTAAGTAAAGTACGACAGTACTTGCTGTCTAGCTTTAAATGTTTTGGGTGTTAAAATATCCCTCAGACATCACCTGAAAAGTTGACAGGCTAAACACATGCCCATCTCCCTCGTTTACTTAAATTAATTCGAACAAACAACTGTATATATATTTCTTGCAGGGTGAAATAAATTCAATCGAAGGGATCCACGCTGCCTCCAGATGCTGCAGAGAGTAAGCCAGCCTGCTGTTTCTTTTTGTACTACTTCCATTTCTTCTCGTCTTTACTCTTACCATGCATTCACAAAATATACTTACTTACCCCAGTTTTTGATCATGAACTTTGACCGTTATCTTTTTAAGCAACTTCAATAAAATAGGTTTAAATGCAAATGTTATGTACACCATTGATTATAAAACCTTGGCAAATGAAAGTAAAAAACCAGCACATTTAATTTCTGAACGTTGGGAGTATTATTATTTTTATATCTTTTACTATCATTTAATCATAGTATCGTGCAAGCTTTTTGAGTGTAATTAGGTTGCTTAAGGTAAAAAAATGTAACTAGGTTACATTTAGTACTAAACTGAACATTTAATTAGTAATGTTTCGTTAAGTAACTGTAATTTCAATGCATGCATGTCCTCCCGTAAGAGCAAGTTTAATAGTATAGCCAACTACTAGCTCCAATTTATTTATAGACAATCTAATAGCTCATTCATACAATAATTACATACTACACTATTAATATCTGATCCCACCTGTCATACACATACTGCATTTTGGAGTCCGTGCTATAGCTGACTACAAATCTATAGTCCGCTGCTCTTCTCTCTCTTTATTTATCTCCTTAAAATATGTTTGCAGCTGGCTTATAGCCTGCTATTGTACCTGCTCTGAAAATAGTGCAGAGACTGTTCAAAAAGTCATTGCACAATAACTATTCACATGGAACTGTGAAAAGTATATATTGGAACTTACTAGCTAGATCCTTTTGGGAACATGGGAAAAGCCAAGTCACGTGTGGAATCCCTATTCCCTGTGTTCTTCAGCTAGAAGAGTGAAAATAATGTACTACTACTATACGGAGATGAAATTACAGCAGGAGCAGAAAGCGGGAAAAAAACTTTAAATCAATTAAACAAACCTCTCTCTGCAAAATTCAACACCAGCAACGAACAACTCATCAAGTTCTTGTGTTATGTACCGGCCGGTAACTAATTGTTGTTTGCATAAGCGAAACGGTATATTTGCAAACAAAAAATAATTTATGAATAAAACTTTTATATACATGTTCTTAATTATCTCAAAACAAAGGTTGAAAAATAAACTTCGATGAAAAAATCTCAAAATCAATTCCAAATTTATGGTGAAAATTTTAAATTTTGTCTGATAAACATAAGTATAAGCAAAAAAAAAAGTAAAGCAATGTCACTATGTTAATGGTATTGGTATATATACCTTTGAGTTTCTGTCTGTACTTTAGGAGTACATGCTACGAACATGTTTTCTTGGCTTCTATTTCGTTGGAATTACTTGCGTATTGTGGGCCAGACGCCTGGTGAACTTCGTCGATTGTGTGGACTAATTAAGCTCACCTGAAATAAGTGGTTGAAAACAAGGCTAAAGATGATTTTAATCATGGATTTTGGCTTGGAAATTTTTTTGTAGGGTTGACGAATTCATCGGAAGAACTCCTGATCCATTCATAACGATGTATGGATTTTCAGGTCGAGAATTTGTCTTTAACTTCGCACGACTGTTATTTTTTTTCTTATTAATTCTCTGTTTACAAGCAGTTCATCGGAGAAGCGAAGTCATGATCATTCTCACCACTTCTTGAAGAAGTTTCGGTACTCACTTCATTCCCGGATCTTAATGTATATATGCATATCTGCACTGTGCTAATTGGTGTACACATTATGTGATCATCAGTCCAAGTTAATTATTACTTACAAAACTGAACTAATAAACACTAGAAAATATGTAACTTGCAAAGTACATATTGAATCAGGGATTCATATATAGAACTCCACCTGCAGATTTCTTCCAATATATATATGCTGTCACCATGTTTTCACTTGTCACCTAGTACACCTTTGACTGGGAGACTTTCCTTGATGATCGACGTGGTCATATTCTTCAGATTGATTTAATTTCAGATAGAAAAAAATATTGTTTACTTAGTTTCTCTCCTTCAGTAAGAGAGATGTGCAAGACCAGCGATCAAACTATATGAACTGTTCGTTTCATGATAAAAAAAACATGATATGGAATAACTAGGTGATTCAACATATAATGGCTGATAATCCCTCGTTTCAGGAGATACCATCAGTTTTCTACTTTTCTACTTTTCTCCATGTTCTCTTTTTCATGTTTGAGGTGGATCGGAGCTTGTATTAGATGTTTGCTCAGCTCAATTATTGCTGCAGATTTCCCTATATAGCCTCCACTGTATATATACTCCCTCCGATTCCATAATTTAATGATATTTTGAACAATGACGCTGTCTCCAAAATATATCTTTCACTTTGTTTTCCTATTATAATATATACAATAAAAAAAATACATATTTACTTTTCTTATAAATAGTTTCAAAGACAAATCTATATATGTTGTTATATAACTCTTTTAAACTAAATATTTTTAAAGTTATAGTCAAAGTTACAAAAGTTGGACCTCAAACATGTATAAAACGTCGAGAATTGTATATCTGATCAACCAATAATTTGTAGTGCATTGTCTTAAAAAAATTGCATTTCTAGCTATGTATCTAGATAATTACAAGAACCAGGTGAAATCACATTTTATTTTTACTGGACCACGAACTCATTGTTTAATTACTTCCAGCCTTGCACTAAATAACAATAATTGAACCTGGCATCACCTGCACAATTAATTTGGACACAAAGTAAACATGAATGCAACATACTTCGTTTCATATTGTTTGTTGGTGTAGGATTTAAATTTTGTGTCAAAATACTTGCCGTTCTTACTACATTCTTAAGCACTTTGAGAACTAACCTTCTCTTCCTACCCTTCATCAATACAGTCATACTAACTAATTGGCTCTTATGCCTTGAAAAACTAATTAGGATGTATTTAATGAGGGTAACCATGTAATCTGCCACCAGTGAATGCAATTTTGGTTCAAAATTTCGGGCCCCCGCCCTAAAAAGTCATTATCTCGATAGAATTTTTTTGAATTTAGTCAAAATTTATTCAAATTTAGCCAAATTGTGTTAAATTTCAAATAATTTCAGTCTAAAAAGTGCTGAAAATCCCGAAATTTAGGTTCTACCGAAATGGCCGGAAATTTTCAGCGAAAATCAAACATGAAAACCTTGTCTGCCACATTTGTTAGTTTGTGTAAAGATTTGCTAGAACGATAAGTAATTTGAAGCGGATGTATATTATATATCCCACAAAACCATCAACTTGTTAATTACATGTATATTTGTGCATGATGCTTTCACCACTTTGTGGTTGTTAACGATTAAATCACACGTTTTATTTTCTCACAGCTGTTTGTGCAGAGCAAGTGCGTGCTGCCTCAGCTACCTCTCCTGGATCTGCTGCTGCAGCAGCGCCGCCGGCGGCTGCTCATCCTCCTCCTCCTCCTCCTTCAACCTCAAGAGGCCGAGCTGCTGCTGCAACTGCAACTGCAACTGCTGCTCCTCCTCCTCCTCCTCATGTGGGGCGGCGTTAACGAAGAGTCCGTGTCGCTGCCGCCGCCGCAGCTGCTGCTGCCGTCGCTGCTGCTGCGGCGGCGTCGGCGTCCGCGCGTGCGCGAGCTGCAGCTGCTCCCCGCCGTGCGCGTGCTGCGCGCCGCCGTGCGCGGGATGCTCGTGCCGCTGCACCTGCCCGTGCCCGTGCCCCGGCGGCTGCTCCTGCGCGTGCCCGGCGTGCAGGTGCTGCTGCGGCGTCCCTCGTTGCTGCCCCCCCTGCTTGTGATCGATCGATCGATTGAGCGAAGCTGCACTGATTGGTTAATTAATTAGTTCTCGATGATGATCGATCGAGCTGCGCGCGTACTTAATTAGCTAGCTAGGTTCTGGTGTTAATTAGTTCCTCATCGATGCATATGTTGATTGCCTTGCTCTGCTTGCGGTTATCTGTAATTTGGCTTTGCTGCCATGATGAGTACGTGATTGCTGATTTATTTTACATATCCTCTGCTATATATATCTAGCTGGTAGTAGCTAGTTTTGATCTCACTTGCAAAACTATTCATTTCCTGATTTTAACAAGGTCAAATGACTTGGTTGCCTTTGGTTCATACTCCTTAGAGCAAGTATAAAGGTTTATATGGAGGAGAGAGGTAACAAAAAAAAATCAAGAGTATTGGCTCTCATGCGAGAGCTAGCTTATCACAAGCTACAAATCAAATATATTAAATGTATAAGTAAGAGATAGAGAGAGGAATAAAATTATAGCTAACCTTATAGGTAATGTATTATATATGTTAATTTTAAAATAAGCTAATAGTAAAAAGTGAGCTTTATTATTATCCTTGCTCTTAGTAATGGCCTCGATTCCTACATTTTTTTTTTGAGAGAGTAGTACATATTTTCGCAGCGTAATATGGACATTGGCCGACGGGCCTAACTATTACTGGGTCTAAGTGCCTAACTGAGCTAAAAGCCTTAAACCCAATACTGAAAACGAAAAAGTTCACTCCGGGTCCCTCATCTTGTCGACGGGTTTTAAAATCATCATTGAACCGGAATACGCATTCCCAATCTTTCAAAACCGGATCACACTAGGTCTAAGGCAGTATTGCTCCCGATTTTGGCTGATATGGTGGTTGAGTCAGCGTGAGACACACATAGGCTCCACATGTCAACGACCCAATCTTCTTTCACCTCTCTCCCCTCTCTTCACATCTTTATCGCCATCCGATCAACGATGGCATGGAGGTCGTCAACAACATCCGGGCGCACGGGGTCGAACACCTTGTCGTCGTAGGGGTTGACCAAGGGGCCGTCGTGCACGGTCTTCAGCACACGTTGATGTTGTGCAGCGTAACACCAATGGGGCCAACACCGAGCAAGCCTGCTCTCGCAGAGTCGTGGCGTCGATGGTTGGTGGAGTGGGAGAGAGAAAGAAGAGAGGGGAGGTGATTTTTTGTGTGTGTATAACATATGGGTCCCATGTTGACTCAGTCTAGTTGATCAAAGTCAGCTTGACATGTCGGTGAAAACCAGTAGCAATACTGCCTTGCAACTTAGTATGATTCGGTTTTGTAATATTAGGGATGTGTTATATCTGTTATTCTGGATCAACGATGATTTTGAAACTCGAGGACGAGAAAAGGGACCTAAAGTGAACTTTTTCCTACTGCAAATGGAAAGACAATCATGAGGACACAACTAGCTCGGATATAAACATGACTACCTTATATATTAATCAACCAAAAGTGCATATGCTCTGCATTAGATTTACTTTAGATTTACTTGTTATATATTTAAACAAACGTTGCTACACAATGAGTTTCGTGTGTTTTCGTTTGCAGAGGTACTTGCTTGGGCAAAAGAAAAGAGACCGAGCGTAAGGAATGTATGGATGATTGTAGAAATTGATTAGGGACCAAACCAAGACCTTCTCCAAGTCCACTTCCATCTTACCACGTCACTTTTGGTCCATAGAAGACAAGAGATCAAATTCTACACGTTTTGGATTTGGATTCGGACCTCCTGACAGCATCAACTTCAAACGGACCTAGCCGCTGATATAGAAGGAATTTCGGAGCCCATGAGTACTAGTTGGAAAGCTAATGGAGTCTACTTTCAGATGGTTTTGGTTCCACGTCAAAATTCCTACCGAGCTGCCGGGAATCTGCAAAATAAGCCACATATCTCATCCAGTCCGAATCTGATTTGGATTTTGGGCCTTGTAATTGTGTCGTGGGCTTAGCCCAAGGGGGTGTGCGCCCTAGGGAAACCCTAGGATGTCCCTAATCATATTTATTCAGTAGACGTCATCGTTTGGAGTGGGGTTTTGCTTAGATTATTCTGTCAAGAACAGTTTCGCCGCTAGATCGGTTTGTGGAACCCCAAATTCGTGTGCTTAATCATTCATATACAATTTGGTTGCAATCTATCTTGTTCTTTCTTGTGTTCTTCGATTCGTATGCAGAGATTAGCCTTCTCGGCGAGGTCAACCGGGTTTTGGCACGGTTGATAACCAGAGGAGACATGATGCTGCGATTGCGGGGCTCAGTAGCGTGTTCGTTAAGAAGCTGGATCGAGTTGTGTGAGTTGTGTCGTGACTCTGCCCAAATCGACTGTTTATCAAAACCTATCGGAAGATCGGGACCTACAACCCCTCGTCAGACAAGTATCGGATATTCCAGGAGCAGGCATGGCCCATTTTTACTAGGAGCCTTGTATGTCCTCCATTCGACGTAGAACTTCACATGAATGTAGCATGCATTTATTATGTGGTTTTAGTTCACTTTCTGTAGGAATCCTGCGTGGCAAATTCCTGTGTTTCAAAGAAGATTGCATTATCCATATTCCACGGACGGTCGTAGTAACAAAACCCATTCATAACCTTTTACATATACATGATGTCATGGTTTTACATACAGATAAAAAGTAATTGAAAAAAAAGTCAATTTTTCACACACCTAAATTCATCTCTGAACTTTAAGGACTACTGTTGGTAGCCAAGTTTCATATTAATTAGGGTCAAAGTCGTACGTATAACAAAGATTAGTGGCGCCGAAAGGGCCTAAATGCTTTTCACTTAGGAACTAACTAATTTTCTCACACATGCACTAGATAGACGAGTCAAAGAAAATATCTCATTATCTTCCCAAGGAGCTTAGTTTTTTTTTGGGTGAACTTTATTCCCGGATCGAGTTGTTCTCGTGCCAGAATTTCTGTAATATTTAAGCGAGTGGGCGGTTATTCTATATATCAGTATATGTATATCAAATCATATATGGGCCGGTATGCCAAGTTGAATGATAATACACATCTCCGATCACAAATATCTTTTGATCATTTAATGTCCTGATATATAAACAGGCATATGAAAATGACTTGCACGTGTGTATCTAATAAATTAAGGATGTAGCTTTAACTGTATTGTAACTATTGACAAACATGATAAAATATGAACAATATGAGGAGGCTGCTACAAATCGGACGTCCGATATATTGTAAAAGATCGGACGTCCATGTCAGCATAACGTCATCAAGCATGCATGCATGCAAAACTATTTTTCCTCTTAAGTTATTTATCCAAATCATGATCCAATTACACCATTAAATTCATTGCAATAAATCTTTAAAACAAGACCACATATGAATATATTCCGATGAAAAAAAATTAGCTTATTATTAAATTATATTTAAATGTTGCAAGCTGTTCCACCAAGTATATCGGAATTGTTTCACTAGGTAGATCGAAAATGTTTCAATCGTTTAAATCGGACGTTGTTTCATCTTATATGAAAGCAATGTTTCAGCAAATAGTGAAAGGATGTTTCAATTCACTGAAACATTTGATCCATATAAAATGAAATATTATAAGTACACTAGGTGAAACATTTTTGGTGGAACAAAAAAATGAAGCGAATTCTCTTAATAGACGGTTTCCATAATATGTGGGTGATTTGTTGCAAAAGAATGTTTCAATTCACTGCAACATTAGATCTATACATAGTGAAACATTGTGAGTACACTAGGTGAAACATTTTTAGTGGAACAAAAAATAAAACGGATTCCCTTAATAGAGGGTTTCCAAAATATGTGTGTGATTTGTTGCAACGGAATATGTGGTGGGACACATGGCAGCATGATGTCGCGTGTGGGAGAGACGTGGGTGGCACAGCAGGTGGCGTTGGTGGGTCCCGGTGGCAGCAGCGATGCATCCTATATTTGGATTCCCATCGGACGTGCGATAGGAAGCATTTTCCATAATATGGATGTCTTCTTGTTTACTGCGGCAAAATAAATTGAGCCTATATTTCAATTAGAAAAAAATTTATATTAGATTGGTGGATGGACATGTAGCATAGCCTTATATAATTAAGATACTAGGGGGAGAGAGAATGATCCTATCCTCGTGTCATAATTAAGATACACAATGATAAGTTTCTTTAAAAAGGAAAATAAAACATAAGGTGATATATAGGGGAAAAAATTGATCTCAACTTTATTATTAACTAGCGTTAAACCACATAAAATTTTTAGCTAGCAATTTTAGTGGAACTATATCACCCATAGTAAAATAAGAGACTCTATTACCGATTTCAAGAGTGTAGCACAATTATACGTAGTATCATGTTTCTAGTATGGTAACATCTTAGTTTAAAAGTGGAACAAAAGAAAGACAAAGATAACCTGAATATGGTCAAACAATTGTTTACCATTAAAACTTAATTTAATATTACAACAACAGCAAATTAACTAACATAAAGCACTAGCTCTAATTAGAATCATATTTTTATAGACCTAATTACCTCTCTAAGTCAATTACCAAAAATATTGTTGGTATTACAGGGTGGAGGGATATCAAAAACAAAGAACACACAGCCCCAAATAAACTGAGAAACATGACACTCAAAGAAAAGATATTCTCTTATGCATAGCATAAATCAAGGTGTTTGTCCCCCCCCCCACCCCTCCCCCAAAACCTCCCAAAAATAAATCTTTTGGCCAAGTTAACCTTTGTTAGGATCACTTTCTTGAAGAAATAACATAAAGACTTTGATATTTAGTGGAAGTCTCATGTAATTCTCTTACTGATCCTAACATTAGACTTTGATATATATAGAGTTAATTGAAAATTGTCCATTTTCATAGAGCGGCGATACAAAGCAATCCTTTTCATTTGACATCGTTATATTAGCTAGCTTGAGTATCAAATCATTCCACTCAATTAGATTTTGGCCAACAATCGCTCTCGTAAAAGAAATATTCAACAATGTTGTATTCATAACCTCTACCACGGTAGACTACTTCTTTCGAGCCACGTTATACAAAGTAGGGTGTTGATTTTTAAGAACACATAATCTGTCAGGGTCATGGATATCACATACCTAATAGTAGTCGACTAAATCTCGGCAGGACCCACCATATACCATGTCCTATACGGAAACAATCTGCAGATATAGGAGGAGTTCCGGATAAGGAAAGACAACCAGAGTTCTACATGGAAACGACAAGAACTATTCGGATTGTATCCATATTGGTTTCCCTAGTTC